TGACACAGCAATACATATGTCTTTTGTCTCATCACCTCTCCATGACTGAAATCTTATATCCAGCAATGTGGATACTGGAATTCTTTGAAGAAACTGATTCTCTGGAACCATATGAGTCTAGCTTTGAGCTAGTTTGGTTAGGGAAGTAGCTTTGGTTGTGCTGATAGATTTATTTATGTATTTAAAATATTTTGTGACGTCCCAGCTTCTCACCCTCAAACAGGCTGTTTGATATGGTTTGGGTCAGGAATATAGGAATATGGGAATATGGGAAGATGCCTTAGATCAATTCAGATTATTGGTCTGTCTATCTAGGTATTGTCCACACTGGCTCTAAAGGATTTCAGACAGAGGTTTCTCCTAGTTCTGCCTGGAGATGCTAGGAATTGAACCTGGGGCCCGGCAAATACAAAAGAGATCTTCTAATATGGAGCTATAGTCCTTCCTTACTGTCCCTGATCAAGAAAGAGAGAGCTAGAAGCCCTCAAATAAAATGCATCCTCTGTAAAGTAGGGTATATGGCCACCCTTGTCCAAAGGTCAGTCTAATTAAACTCTCTGTTTCTCGGAGTGACCAATGACATCTTCAGGAAACCTACAAACAGGTCAGAATGGCAAGAACCCCCTCTCTTTGTCATTCCCCAGGAAATAGTATTTGGAGGCATGCTGCCTCTGATCCCAGTAGCCATTGCTAGCCTAATCCTTTGTGAGTTTGTCTAATTTCCTTCTACAACTACTTATGTCGGTTGTCATCACCACTCCTTATGGTAGTGTGTTCCATCATGTAATATGCACTATAATATATGAAGATGTACTTCCCTTTGTCTGTCTTAAATGACCCATAATTCAGCTTTATTGGGTGAACCTGGATTCTAGTGTTATGAGTGGAGGAGAAAAGCTTCCTTCTCTCTTTTTGCTGCCTGCACGATGTCAATATGTTACACTTTGCCCAGAACAAATAAAAATATTTCAAGCATCATATAAGAAGAGCCCTACTAGATCAGGCCAAATATTTATCCAGTCCAGCATCCTGTCTTCATCAGTGACCAACCAGATGCCTATGAGAAGTCCACAAGCAGGACATGAAGACAATAACCCTTTCCAGTAGATGCTTCCCAGCAGCTCCTACTCATATGTGTATTGCCTCTGAATCTGGAGGTTGTATGTAGAATCCTTTGCCAGTCTGTTGCCTGGCAGGACATGTTGTCCAAAACATCTGGAGGGCAACAGATTTGCAAAAGCTGGTATGTAGCATTGCACGTAGCTATCATGGGATGGGATCACATTACTCTTTCATGCTTGTCTAATTGTGTCCACCAGCTATATACTTAATGAGAGCACTGGGACAGCATCCTTAAGACAGCTAACCAAGATTTGTTCTCAGAATGAAGTGGTGGCAGACAATGATTTAATTAAAACCTTCCTTACAATCCTCTCATTTCCCGCCTCCTGCAGCTCTTCAGTTAACACTCTTGGGGAACAGCAGACATACCATAAATACTCAGGCAAAAAGAGTGCAATGACGAACCTAATAGCAATTTCCCCGTAGATAACTGCCCTTTTTTCTGACTTGCCAAAGGGACCAGCTTCTTCAAATTCATTTCCCTTGTTCAGGTGAGGGTCTTGCTCAGCATTTGCACAGCTAAAGGGCAAGGCAGTACATATTCATGAAGCCAGTGGCATTTATAGCTCTAATAATATTTATGCACTGTCTGCTGAATGGTATTTGACAGGGCAAATATTTACACACAATATTGCTGACAGTCTCACTAACCATGAACAGCATTATCTGAGGAAGAATCAATACTCGGCTTTAACACTGGAGTCCCAGCAGTGCATCCTAAACCAACACAGCTTGGAGGAAGAATCCCAATCAAGATTTCTTTTATGAGGTGGGTCTGCTCTGAAGGGGATATCTTTATGTTTCTTTCCCCATCACTTTAATGATTCTGGTTTCAGTAATGTGGCTTAGCACTGATGATTAGGAAGGTACTACATGTTGAAAAACAACATAGGCAGAAAACAGCAGCTCTGGGAAAACTCTCCCTCTTCTTCCTCCATCACATGTAGAAAAAATTACCCAATAATAATCCTCTTGACATCATTATGCTGGGTATTTCCCTGTCCCTGCTTGTGGTAGTCAATGATAGGGATCTGAGGTGGGGAAACAAAGAAGGGCTGTTTAGAAGAACTCCCCTCACACATTAGGCATTTCACTCGCTAGCACAGGGGTGAGGAACCCCAGAACAGGATCGAAATGTGACCCCCAGACTTCTTTATCTGGCCCTATAGACTATCCCTATGCCATGGCCCTCCCTAGGCCACACCTCTTACCACAAATACTCTAGGTCCATCTTGAGTGCCCCTGTCTGGCTGGAATGAGCCCTTGAACTGATAAGACTGATAATCTCTTCATATGGAGAGATGTGTTTGCATGGTTGTAGAAAATCTAGGTGTTTTTTTGTATGTCTGCATGTTGCCTGTTGTATAAAGGCAGGAGTCACACCCATTGCTCCACTCACTTTTAACTCTGGCCTCGCCCACCACGGGTATGTGTGTGTTCTCCCCCCACCCACATTGGAGGTTGCTTATGAGTGAATGTGGTCTTTGGGTTGAAAATGGTTCCCCATTCCTGCACCAGTCCTATCCCAGTGCTCTGACTGGCCATGTCCCTCCAAGTGGCCACACAGATAGCATTAGTCTGAAAGGGTTGTACTATGCATGTACAAATTGCATGCACAGTCCCTTTTGGACCAACATGGTGTGTGTGGTTGCAGGAGGGAGTGAGCCTACTAGGGTGATCTTACTCTTCCCTTGCATAGTCACTGCACACACTAAGACACAAGGTATTACATGTGACAGATAAGGTTGGGGGAAGTAAGCATGGAATTACTGTTGTCAGTGGCAATCCCAGGTCTGTCCTTTTGCAGCCTAGAATTGAATGTTCTTGTTTTGGTGAAACTTCATCAATGCTGGTGATCAAACATCAACCATTGGGTGAAACACTGTTCAGGCTGGAATACTAGAGATAAGTTGACCATCAGAGCAACTAGTGAATTTTCACAATGAAGATATAGGGAACAGGGATGGGGGTGGGGGAGAGATTGGTTTAGTTCTCATCTAAACGCAAACCTTCCTAATTTTCACCTCCCCAAACAATGTGCAAACACAGCCATCCTTTGAAATTCACACTTCTCTGATTTTTTTTTATGGACAAAGCCCAGAAAGGGATATACTAGGGTAATGTGCATATATAATACATGCAGTAGTGAAAAACAAACATACAAAAATGCAAAGGTGATGCCACTTTGTTGATCAAATACCTGTGCAGCCTCCACTAAGACTCTCCCATATTCCCCTTCCAATGTGTCTGAAGTTGGAGTTGAAAAGAGTGATTCCCCCTCCTCCAACTCAGTTTCTTACAATTCAGTCCTTCCCCCATTTATTTCTCTCTCCATCAGAACCAACCAAACCAATCCCAATCCCAACAGCACTATGGGTTCATGGCAAACTCTCAGCAAGTTGTACCAAATTTTAACTTCCCTCTGTTCCTCTTTTGAGCCTTTTTATATTGAAGAACACAGAAACACGATATCTGTGTGCTTAAAACTATATTCATCTAACTCTGAACACCAGAGACAGCAATATCTAGCTCAACCTTTTAAACACAGAATTTAAAATTTAAATATATAATGATAAATTCTGTATTTCAAAGGAGTGGCTTTTCAAATGTGGGTGGAAACTGAAAGCCTCAGGAAGCAATGATATTCCTTCCAAAACTTCATTTCAGCTCAAGCCATTCCTCCTGCAAAAGTATATTATGGAATGAAAAGTAGCTACACAGGATTCTTGACATCTTTTAATATTAGGAAGTCAATGAGTTCCGTCTCCTTGTGGGCGACTGAAATGAAGCTGTTATAATCAAGAGCAAATGTAAAGAAAGGAGTCTAGAGGACAAGAGCAAATGGGTCAGCACCTTGAAACTAGCTGAACAAAGGAAGCTGATGTGGGCAGACTTTTGGTCATTTGGATGAATTGTATTGCTGCATTGCCGTGGAAACAAGGCAAATGTCTTCGAGAAAGACAGTACCAAACATTTAACAAGCTGAGATCTGCGAATCTCTGGCACCTGCGTGTGTATGTTTGATCTGTGAACAGTGGAGGGAAAAGTTCAAGGACCAAAGTCTATTCCCAGCTTGCCGATTCATCACTGTTATCTTACAGAGCTAGCACAGCTCTTGCTGTGTTTGAAAGTGGGTTTCTCCGCACTGGTGATAAAAGAGTGTGAGTGGGGGGTGGGAAAGCCTACAGGAAAGCAAGCGACTCATGTGAACTCGCTGCTAAGACATAACAAGTTGTTCAGAGTCAGGACTGCTTCGTATATTACATTTGAGCCAGAAAGCGATAATCATGGCGGAAGAAAAATAAAAGTTTACATGTCTGTTTCTTGTGTTTTCAGTATACAGACTGGAAAACTGAAGTGGAAACTCCACTTTCTGTGGACACCATCTTACAGGACCAAGCAGGGTATATCTCCCACATAGCCATTTGGCACAGTTGCATCCTATCATTTTGTTTAGAAAGCTCTGTAGAAAATGAATGAATCTGTACCCTTATCAAAACAATGCTGAGCACTTTTGCAACCTGGAATTTGCCACCTTCGGGGAAATGACTTGAATGCCAGCAATTATACTTCCAAAGCCTGTGCCAATACTGTTGCAATGCTACTCAGAAACACTGTTATGTCCTCCTTCCCCACTTTGTGTCCTTTTATTTCTAAGACTAATCCCCTTCCAGACATATGGTTTAAAGAAAATATCTTCACAAAAAGGGCCAGACCTACTATTAAGTCAAATACAGCTTTGGGCAACAGATTAGAAACATAGGAAGCCACTTTATACAGAGTCAGACAAATGTTTCATCCAGCTCAACATTTGTCTACATTAACCGGCAGCATCTCTGCAGGGTTGCAGACCAGGGTCGCCCCCACCCAGCCCTAACTGGAGAAACCAGGGAATGAAGTTAGGACCTTCTGCATGAAAAACAGATACTCTTATCACTGAGCTACAGTCCTTCTCCCTGACATGGTACAATTGTCTTGACTTAATTCTGTTTCTGTGTGTCCTTTTTAAAGAAAAAGAATAGTTTTTATCATTTTGGCTTTTAGCTTTAAATCCTAAAATATGGGATCAGGCAGAAACCTTCATCATACTCTTTTTGGAACTTGATAAAAACATTTTTGTTCAGGCAAGCCTATCCAGACATGTAGAATGTTGACCTGTGTTTTAATCTGGTTTTAAGCTGATCATTGATCTTAATTATTTTTAAAGTGTTTTGAATAGTTGTTTCCCACTGTTTTCCACTAATAATTTTTTTAAATCCTTTTTATAAACTGCTTTGCAGGCTGTTGTTTTACAGTCAAGTAGTATATAATTTTTGTGGACTATAAAGAAATAATCATATACGCTTGTTCTGGGTGTGCACATGTCAGCCTAAGTCACTCTTTGGCTCCTGGTTTGTATCTTAATTGTATGAATCTAAAACAGGAAAAGTCAATGTGGAGCCCTTCAGATGTTGTTGAACTACAACTCCCAACATCCCTGGTGCTTGTCCATGCTTGCTATGGCTGATGGGAGCTGGAATTCAGCAACATCTAGAAAGGACATGTTGGCTACCCCGCTAAAATAGAGTGAATATGCTGCAGCTTTCCATCTCACGGCAGATTTTCAGAAAGGCCCCCAGTTCCAATCAACTTAACCAGCCATGAAGCTCCTCTCATGTCATGGAAGGGATATTTTCCATCCCTTCCTTCTGATGCAAATTCAGGTCTTCTCATTGAGCCCCTCTATGACAATTTCACCACTACTCGGCTTCATTCAATAAATTAGTTTTTGTGGCAAGTGTTGCCTCAGACTGAACTACTTGTTAGTTTTGAGGTTTTATGGAGTATAGATCTGTTTCCCACACAGCCATGAACTTTGCTGACTCAAAGGAAAGTGATCTTTAACAGTCCCCCAGATAGATGTATTTTTCCTGCCTAAGTGCACACAAATTGCAGCCTACAACCAATTAAACATACACTTTCTCTCTCTCTCTCTTTCACAGTAAACATAATTTTAATTCCAAAATGTCAATAGAGGGCCTTTGCTTTTATTTTCCCATATTGTCTACAGCCCAACATGGTAATTTGGGCAGTCGATAAAAGGAAGACAGCTGAAGTGGTTAATTGAGTGCCACCTACATTCGTTAAATTGCATGCTGTGGTTTACATTTCTGAGGACTGTCTTCCAATCAGCAGGGTCCTTCAGATATAAAAGCCATATTCAGGCAATATATTTACTAGTTAGTAGAACATGACATGAGAAGAGATTATGGGGATCAACGTGCTACCTCCTTCCCTGTCCCCACAAGTTAAAGGGTGATGGTCTGCAGTGAGAAGACTGTTCTATCTATGAAGACTCTCCAAACAATGTGCAGCCATGGAAAATCAGGGGTCTGCATTGCACCCAGTGGAGGTGGGTCCATTAGGGCAAAGGCAGGTTGCTCCATTAACCTTAGTCTGCCCTCACACAATCCCTACCTGCCGGCCTTCTCTCTTAAAACCGCTCCAGGGATGGTGGAACAATCTGTCAGCCTCCTCTTCCTTAGTCTCGGTAATGCCCTTTATGGAACTCTGCAGATCAAAGGAGGAGGGCGGAACTATAATTAGTGGACTCTGCCTGTCATTGGCTCAGACTCCACTTAGTGCTTGGGATACCCTGCCAGATGGGTGGGTAATAATAATAATAATAATAATAATAATAATAATAATAATTCTGCTTCTATAGTCTTGATGGCCACTAACCACCACTGATTGCACCAGAAGCCTCCATGAGGACAGGAGACTCTCCACCACATCTCTGACTCATGGAGGGCAATGCGTGGCAGAGGTAGAGCACTCATCCCTACTCTCCCTATTTACATGTTCCACTTATTTGTGAGTATAATGTGGGTGCCTCCCTCCTCCTTTACCTCAACGAAGTCCCATCACAATCCAGCATTTCTAGAATGTTATTGTTATTCTCATTTATACCAAAACGAAAATTCTTAAGGGGCATTATTGTTGTGACAGATTCTTTCCAGACACGAAGGCAAAGTCCAGCAATAGCTCACCAGCAGACACAGGGAGGAAAAATGCTGCATATACAGCATCCTAATGATTTCATCCACAGGGATATTTTTTGGATACCTGAGTGTTGTTAATGCACTTCAGCATGATTATATGGCTTGGCAAACTGTCGCCTTCAGCATCTGACAACCTGCTTTCTCATTATACACAGAGAGAAAACAACACCAGACTGAATACATTGGTGTTAACCTAGACACTTTGGAAGGCAGTGTAAGTTAAACACAGCAGGGAAGGGAGAAAGAAGTGACCTCACTATAAGGACGTTACCCAATTAATTATTATTAAGTGCTCGCAAACACTGGAGTCTAGTGGCTAGACATTGTACAGAAATTAAAAATTAAACTCCAAATTTATGGAGAAGTATCTTTATTCTAGCAGCAATTTGTGTACCATCTTAGGTTGCTGCATGATTGCTTCGGCTGATTTGCAATGAATCACACATCTCTAAGCTGGACCTACACTGAAGCATCTAAATACCAGGCTGATAACTGTGACAGATCACGTTGCATGGGTGCTCTTAGAGCAGAGCTAGCATTGCATCAGTGCCGGGATTTCTTACATTTCCCTCTTACTAACTGCATTGATTATCAGCTTTCTGTTACTGACAAACGTCCCCTTTGCTGAGAGTTAAGTGTTACGTCACATGGTTTAAAAGGCATAAACAACAGTGTACCAAAACTCCAACGGAAAGTGCAGCCCGGCCAAAAGACACATTGTCCTATCAGCAACCATCTTTTCCCACTCCAACATCTTCTTTCTTCCTCCTGAAAGGCATGATTAGCAACAGCAATGAAAGGGCAAATAAAGTCTAGACAAGACAGCCGTGATCTGATGGCTGATTGAAGCTCTATTCTCTGTAGCAATTTCATTAGGTGCTGATAAAGAACAGTGAAGGATTTCCAGCTGCAAATCTGTACACTGAATGTAGTATCTGATCTATGGATTTCTTCAGTTTACCAAGGAAACAAAGCAGTGCAAGAAAAAGGTTGTTTAGAATGAAACATGTGAGTTTCTCCTAAGCTTTATGCTTTCTCATCTCTCAGATGATCAGCCACCTTTTCTGCCTAACTCCCTAACCCTAGGCACTATGCAATTTCCCCCTTCTAATCCAAATACCTTCTATTTCTTTCATAGTAACTGCCCTGAGCCAAATTCCACAACTGACCTTTCCCTCTCAGAAATCAGAATGTTTGTGAATAGTCCATGATATACAGCCAGGGGCCTTTGCAAATGGCAAGCAGGTGAGCTGGGACTTTTCAGTTTAAATAAATGGGAGATAAAAAAATGTAATAACTAAATGAGATTCTTTTTAAAATAAGCAATGCCTTTGAAATAAGATGGGCTCTATGGAGTGAGAATGTTTGCTGCGGCTTATGCTGGAATTTGCTACTGTGATTAGTTAAATTGTGAAGCACAGGTGTGTGTTCCTAAATATTTGGTGGCCTTCACTGGGGAGCCTTGGTAGCCTATGGCTCCCTGCTCTGTGTCTGTTGCATGTCTAGGAATGAACACCCCTGCCTTGGGCACTTGGTATGTTTACTGTGAGGAAACAGGACTAGTGAACAAAGTGTGAAATAGTTCTAAGTTGTCATTAGTAATGGTAATACAGGCTGTTAAAAAGTTACATTGCGAGGTTCAAGCACTATTTGCATAAAGCATTTTCCTTTTTGTACATTCAGGCAAATCAAGTGCAAAGTCTTCCTTGACTGGACTGTTCCAGGCCACAGGTGTGTGTGTGTGTGTCTTGGTGAGGGACTCACCCATGTTCCCCCTCCTTATCTACATAGGTTTCACCTACCACTTAGTTAAGTTAGTTGCAGATCTCCGTGTTATATTTATTGAACATAACATTAGTTCTTGAGTCTTCCTTTGGGACATGTGGGCAACAGCCTAAACTGTGGGGGAAGGGATTGTAACGTGTATGTGAAAATACAGAGCTGGAGAAAATGTTTTGGACAAGTAACAAACAGGAATAAGTAACAAAGAGGAATTGTAGAGCACTCCCTTCCCTTTCGTCATTTATCCAACACAAATTATTCCTTATTGAGATACTGCACAATGGAGAAAGGACTATCAGGGCCTCATATTCAACATGAAATTTTCCCCTAAGGCAGGAACGGGGAACCTGTGGCCCTTAGAATGTTGCCAGACTACATAGTCCATCATTCCTATGCAGGTTGGATCTGATGGGAACTGAAGTCAGACATCACCTGGAAAACCACAAGTTCCCCATCCCTAGGATATCCCTGGAGTGGATATTCTGGGTTCACAAGGAAATGGCCCCTCTTTATAGCTTGTTATTTATGCTGCAAGCAAAGAAGAAAATCTATACGTAAAAAATCCAAGTCTTATTTTTAGTTCAGTGACTGGGTGTCATCATGCATCTTTCCCTCTTCTCAAAATTCACACTTTTCCCGAATGATATGGGCGGTCTTTTTCTTGCCATTAAACACCAGCACATTTAGGCTTTCTAAATTACCCCACATCAGAGAGTGACAGCTCTCGTACCAAACTGCATATTTTGTTTTCAGTGAGCTTTAAAAATTGCTCTGCTTTTTCCTCCCTTCTTGGAATATGGATTTTTTTTTAAAAAAAAGCTCTTCTCCCTCTCCCTATCTATTTCCACCTCTCTCTGAGCTTATTTGGGCTTATAAACCTGAGATGCAAGGAGTCATGGCAAGTATGTTACACAACTCACAAAATGCAATGAGGAAGGAAAGAAATTCATTTCATTAAAAATATTCAGTGCTACAATAGCAGATAAATGATCCAAATCTGTTAACAACTTCTCCAGCATGTTGCTGTCACAAAAACAAATGAAATGATGCTGCAGGAAGTATGTACATATAGGTGGGTAAAAACCCTTTAAGCGTAATATGCTCTAAAAGGAGGACCCAAATATCTCTTCTCCATTTTGTAATTTCCCCCAAGTGTAAAGTCTGCACAGATTCAACAGGGTTTTCTTTCAACTATATAGTAAGGGGGGGGGAGGTTATAATGTTCAAATAAATTCATTAGATTCCATTATCTTCACAATTTAGAAATCTAGCCTCCTCTGGCGTTGTGAGGTTCAGTATAAGCCAGGTAAAATTTGCCACTTGATTGCATGATATTTCTTTTGAAGCTGACTTTACACGACTTGAGGCTTTCCTGCGTGTGAGCGAAGCACATGAAAAGCATCTGCCAGCCTCAATTAAATGTTAGTCTGGTTGTACAGTCCTTATAGGCAGAGAAGCCTATGTATAAAGTCAGTCTGATGCAAGACCTTCTTAGCAGCAGGCTGTCACTATCCCTTTGAATGATCTATGCACCCCAAACTAATTTGCAGTACGGTTGCTTGTGTGGACTACAATTTCTGTCTTCCAACGGAGTGTTAGACTTAAACAGAGGATGCTTTTGCACAAATCTCAGTTCTGCCATAAAGTCACTGAGTGACCTTGGGCCAGTCACTCTCAGTCTAACCCAGTGTTTCCCAACCTTGGGCCTCCAGTTGTTTTCAAACTACAATTCCCATCATCCCTGACCACTGGTCTTGCTAGCTGAGGATTATGGGAGTTGTAGTCCAAAAACAGCTGGAGGCCCAAGGTTGGGAAATGCTGGTCTAACCTACTGCACAGGGTGGCTGCAATAATAAATGGAATAACCTCCCTCTATCTTATTCTGAGTTCTTTAGTTGACAAAAATGATATAAATAAAATGTGTTCAGGAATTCAGATGTCGAAACAAAAAAAATAGAGTTTTGTGCTAAGCTATGCATGGGAAAATGGAATTTGAATAAGGGCAATGACAGGTTCGTAAGTGGAAGTTAGGAATATGAATCTGCTTATTTTGATTCTCTGTGTCTCTCATTTTTTCAGTCTTCAGTTCTCCACATTTTCTCAGCAATTTAAGATTTTTTAAATAAAAAAACCCTCATGAATATCCACTAGCATTTTAGTGCGAATTTCTCCCAATAACCACATTTAGACAAATATATGTGAAAATTCGGGGACGCGGGTGGCACTGTGGGTAAAACCTCAGCGCGTAGGACTTGCTGATCGTCAGGTCGGCGGTTTGAATCCCCACGGCGGGGTGCACTCCCGCTGCTCGGTCCCAGCGCCTGCCAACCTAGCAGTTCGAAAGCACCCTTAAGTGCAAGTAGATAAATAGGGACCGCTTACTAGCGGGAAGGTAAACGGCGTTTCCGTGTGCTGTGCTGGCTTGCCAGATGCAGCTTGTCATGCTGGCCACGTGACCCGGAAGTGTCTCCGGACAGCGCTGGCCCCCGGCCTCTTAAGTGAGATGGGCGCACAACCCTAGAGTCAGACACGACTGGCCTATAAGGGCAGGGGTACCTTTACCTTTACCTATATGTGAAAATTCTGTGCAAAATAGGTGTATTTGTTTTATGCACATTGCCCACTAACATATGCATTTGTGTACAAATTATTTGGTTGGACAACTGCATTGCAAAATTCCGCACAGTGCAAATTTCAAAGGCTAGTTGCATTTCAGTTTGAATATTGGTTCGAGATGTGTTAGTTAGGAAGTTTCTAATTAAAATGCAAACAAAACTGAATTTCTCCTCCGTCCCCAGTGGAGATAAGACAGTAGCCTCAAATAACTTGTAGAGCTTCTCTAGTGCAGAATTCTGGTCTATGCCAGTGTTGCTGATTTAACCTAGCTGATTTAAACATGTATCTTACTCATCTTAAATGCCATTGCACCTACTGAAGAAGAGAGTGTTTTTCTGCTGCTGCCATCTGAAGTGAACAGTAGAGGTGTGGCCAAAAGACAGATTAGTCCTAGCAGCAGTAGTCCTCCTAACACCCAAACAGCTGTCACTGGCAAACAAGAAAGCAACCCCCCAATTAAATCTTGAATGATGTGAAGCATGTGATGGAAAACTATGGCAGGCAATGTAAGAGGCTACAAAGCACAAGCCCAGTCCAGTTGGGATGTTGAACAGTGAGGCAGCAAACTTGGGAAAATTAAATCCAAGAAGTACAAGGTGAAGATAAACCAGGGAAGCACGGAATAGATTCAAGGGTGGCGGTGGTGGGGATCAATAAAGGGCAAATGACACAGCTGGATAATGGGAAGCACAGAGAGATAAATTAGAGGGTTGCCCAGAGGTTCTGATAGCCAGCAAGCAATGCATTAAAAAACAGAGCAAGGGGGACCATCAGGAAAAAAACTAATTAAAAGTAAGGAAGGCAGAGCCACATGGTGTAAAACATGCAGGAAGAGAAGAGGCTTGGCAGAAAAATTACAGAGTGTAATGAAAAGAGAGGTGTGAGGATGACAAGAAGAGCCAAGGTTGAGAAGGGAAAGGCTTTGACTTCACACAAGGCTCAGATAAATAATAAAGACATGTTTTCAGGTACATGGGGAGCAAGAGAAGATTGAAAGAGCCAGGAGGTTATAGCAGAGGAGGCAGGAGAACTTATTGGTAGCAGAGGTTGGGGGCACTCTTGTAATAAGACAGGAATATTGGATTGGGAGGGCAAAGCTACTGTCGAAGGTATGTGATGTAGAGCCTCCCAGGCTTGCGAGTCTGTCCCCATCTGCTTTGTACTTCCATGTAACTTCTGATACCTGCCCAGGTCTTAACTCTTTTAGTTTTATGTGAAGAGAATTAACACTTCTGCTTTCATCTTGGGACTTTCATCTTGGATTTATAATTGCATATATTACAAGCAGAGCTGAGCCTATTGCATTTTCAGCCACACACATTTACCTGCAGAAGGGCCCATGGCAGAGCATTTACTTTGCACGCAGGAGGGGTCAGACTCAGTCCCCAACATCTTCAGTTAGGTTGTTCTCACAGAGGTTGTGGAAGATAAGGCTATTCATGGCTAGGTTCTAGCTCCATCATTGTAGGAGGTATGCTTCATGACTACCAGTTGCTGGAAAGCACAGGAGGGGAGAGTACTGTTGCACTCGGGTCCTATTTGCCGTGCAGGCATCTGTTTGGCCACCATGAGACCAGGCTGCTGGAGTAGATGAGCCACTGGCCTGAACCAGGCTCTTCTTACATTATTATGACTAGAAACACAGAGGAAAACCAGAGCTCAGACCAGGAACCAGTGAAACAGGAAGTCTCCTTACATCATAGGCACCAGCTCAGAGGGCGTTTGGCTCCACCCCCTGGCTCTTTGCATCCATGCCATACACATGACATTGTGCTGGGCCCCCTCAACGGTGTTGAGAAGCTGATGCCTCTACCCTACACTCCTTTTCCTTGGGAAGAAGCCAATGTTCAGTCTGGGTGGGCAGAACCAGGGCAATCAGAACGTTCTGCCCAGCAGTTTGTTAGCCCTCCATATGGTTTGTTTATTTTCAAAACTTATACAGTGAGTTACAAACGCCTTAGGTTACAAACACTTCAGGTTACAAACTCCGCTAACCCAGAAATAGTACCTCGAGTTAAGAACTTTGCTTCAGGATGAGAACAGAAATCGTGTGCCGGCAGCACAGCCGCAGCAAGAGGCCCCATTAGCGAAAGCATGCCTCTAGTTAAGAACAGTTTCAGGTTAAGAACGGACCTCTGGAACGAATTAAGTTCATAACTAGAGGTACCACTGTAAAGCTCTATCTTCACCCAAAAACAGATTTCATAGGAAAATAAGTAGCTGCTATATATATATCGAGTCAAACTCTTGTTCAATGCAGCTCAATATCATCCACATCTATAAAAACGGATGGCAGCTTTCCAAGGATTCAGACAGAAGACATTATCAGCCCCACCATAGATGCCTGGAATCGAACTTGATATCTTCTGCATGCAAAGCAGATGTTCTACCACTGAGCTATAGTTCTTCACCCTGGGAGGTATGCATATGAATTTAAAATCTACAAATGCAATATAGGTAATAACCAACCATACAACAGAATAGCTGAAAAATACCATAGTTTAAAATGCCTGGGCAAATAAGAAGTATTTTAACCTGGAGCTGGGAAGAATGCCAAGCACACCTCCCCCCGGAGGGCATTCCACAGTCAAGGCACCACCACAGAGAAGGCCCTCTCTTTAGTGCATATGTAATGCACTTATCCCAAAGATGGAATATGACCATCCTCTGACAATTTTAATACACAGTCAGCCTGATATGGGAGTGAAGGGAAGTTTTCTTTTCTGCAGTTCTCTTACTGCACATAACTGTGGCATTTTGCTTTTAGCACTATTGTTTCTTTCCTCTTACATTCTGGGAAGTTTTTACCTCTGCACATAAGTCTGAGAATGTTCTGAACAGTTCCCATTGAGTTCATGAAACAGTGTATCCTGACCTGTTCTTAATGCATTGCTGACCACATTTACGGAACGTGATTGTTGTATTCCTTCATGTTATGTTCTCTCAATATCAATCTTTAGTTATAATTTAATTAGGAGGTTTCATGCCTGTCTAGTTCCAGCTCCGTTCCCAGTCTTTTGAACTATCAGTGATTAATGTAAAATGTAATGCCCGCCTTGTACCTATGTTAACCAATCAGCAACAAGATGCTTTGTGTTTGTATCAGCCAATCAGCCACAAGCACACCTGTGGCAATGTTTGTAATATTCAATAAAGAGAGTTCCCGGGACTTGCCCCGGGCAGACGTCTCTCCTTTGACACCCACCATCTCGCCTGTCGTGATTTCAACCCAACATCTGGTGACCCCGACGTGCCAGATCCCTTACGCAGCCAAACCTCATACTTCACCCGACTGGAAAAGTCTCAGCGCGCTACTTCGTGAGTATGGGAGGGGACTTGACTAAGCTCCAGAAAGAGCATGCTAAAGAGTTGCTTTATTTAGTTAGACAGCGGGAGGTGGGTGTTAATATTTCCTTAAAAGAAATTGAACAATTGCTATGTGAGATAAATTGCCAATGCATTTTTATCCAGAGGCTGGATCTTTGGACGTAGAGACTTGGCAAAAGATCGGAAAGACCCTTTTGCTGAACCTAGGGCTCCGATTCATTGTCTGCTCACTTGGCAGAAATGTGCTGATGCCGCTAGCTAAATTAGGGCCCCAATTGGGACCCCAGGCGTCTCCTCTTCTGGCCATTGCTGACAATCCCCCACCCTACCCAAAACTTTTACCTCCTTCTCCCAGCCAATCCCTCCCTGCTTCTCACCCTCCTCAGCCTGCATCCTCCCCCCCCATCCCTCCGCCTCAGCCTGATTCCTCCCCCCCCATCCCTCCTCCTTCTGCCACAGCCCCTGTTTGCTCTATAGGAGCTGTGCGTGCTGCGCTCTCTCTGGCAAGGCAAAAGGACTCCTGTCCTTAGAGGAGGAGTCTGAGTGGCCAGGTGAAATGCCGTCTGCTTTCCCTATCTCTTATTCAAACCCTGGAACTGCTCAACAGCAGATTTATTATGAATCGCTTCCTTATTCTGTAATGAGGGAATTAAGGAAAGCCATTGCTGATTCTGGTCTGAAATCCTCTTATGTGACAGGGATGCTAGAAGGCATAGCAACTGGCTACATTATGCTACCTCAGGACTGGAAAGACCTTATGCGCATGCTTTTGTCCCCTGCTCAGTATGTGGTGTTTGAGAGTGAATTTAAACATAGCGCTTCAGCCCTGTCTGATCCGCAACATACTGCCAATGAACTTTATGGTGCTGGTCAGTTTGCTGATATAACTGCCCAAGCAACACTGACACCTGTACATTTTGTTCGCACCGCTACCTGTGTACAACGCGCCTTCGGAAAGTCCCTGTTTCTGGGCAACCGCTGAGCTCCTTTGTAAATATTAAGCAACAGCATCTGGAGCCATACCATCAGTTTATAGATAGATTGAAAGAATCAGTCACTAGGCAGATTGATAACACCACTGCTCAAAATGAATTGATGAAAAAATTGGCCTTTGAAAACGCAAACACTGATTGCAAGAAAGCTTTGCAGTCAATCATACATCGCCCTAAATATGAACTGGCCGATATGATTCAAGCTTGTGCGGATGTCGGTAGCCAGAGCCATGCGATGTCCTTGCTTGCCGGCGCAATCCAAGCAACCACTAAGCCTACTGGTAACTGCTTTAATTGCAAGCGCCCAGGCCATTTTGCCAAGCAATGCAGAGCCCCAGGCGGGGGGGCACACAAGGATGGTTCTGCCTCTAAGGCTAAACCTTCTGAATTTGCCATTGATTTGATCAATCAGGAGACCAAAGACTCTGTTTTACCTGGTGAAATTGTGCTTATGCCCACTCAATTGGCAGGTCCCCTGCCTCCTAAAGTCGCAGGTTTAATTTTACCCAAATTTTCTGCGGCAAAGGAAGGAATCCAGGTTATTCCTGGAGTTCTGGATCCTGACTATGTAGGCACAATAATGGTTCAACTCTGGAGCCATATGCCCATGCAATTAAAAAAGGGTGAGTCTTGGGCGCATTTGGTGGTGCTCCCTTCTCATCCTACTGCTTCTATTATGGATACTAATTTGCACGAGCTCTCTTCTTTCCCTCCACAGCTGTTAGCTGTAGTCCAGAGGATTGGTGAGAAGAAACTTCTTCGTAAGTATAAAATCAATGGTATTGTGCTGGAAGGCTTGATTGACACAGGCGCAGACGTTTCTGTAATTTCTAGTAGTTGCTGGGACCCCACGTGGCCCCTTGAGTCTGCTTCTGCAGTCTGGGGTGTGGGTGACCCCAAACCTCTTCCAAAAGCGTACAGTGGCTGCCTGTTTCTCTGCCTGATAGCTCTGAAACCATTGCTTACATCCAGCCCTGTGTGCTGAAAATCCACCTCAATCTGTGGGAAGAGACTTGCTACAACAATTACAAGCTACCATTCAATTTAATGAGTAAGCTTGCACTTCCCTCAACTGGAAATCTTCTGGTCGTGTCCTGGCTATACGCTTAATTACATTCCAGCAATACATCAGCCATGGCACACCTTGCTGTTTAAGCCGTTTGTCCATCATTTTATCGCTGCAATACTGAACTGACTAATGATTGTGATGCTTTTGTCTCTCTTCTCAGTAGGTCTGAATATATCTCTTTAGCTGTTTCTCTCTTAGGAGTCCCTGGATTGGCTGTACGGAATCGTGTGAACATTACTTCTTTAGCTTGTTATGCAGACAAATACTCTGAATTATATTTCACATGCCTTTCACCTTTTGAATAAAGAACAGTGCACTCCACAATGGACTTTTACAAAATCCTTTTACAAAATGGACTTTTTACATTATATAACCCCTTTTGAATAAAGAACAGTGAACTATATAATGGACTTTTACGAAATCGTGCTATAGATTATTTGCTGATGCTTCATCATTATGGCTGTGAACAAGTGAATGACATGTGTTGCTTCAATATTACTGACAATTCAAGAGCCATTCAAAGCCAAATCTCTCATTTGCAAAATCTTACACATCACATTAAACAGGACATTGGTTTTCCTGGCCTCTGGGATTACACATTAAACAGGACATTGGTTTTCCTGGCCTCTGGGATTCTTTCACCCAGTGGCTTACTGCTTGGTTGCCAAACCTTACTTGGCTTCGTAATCTTTTTCAATATGCTATTGTTATAATATGTTTATTAACTTTACTATGCTGTTTTCTTCAATGCATTCCTAGCCTCATGACTCTTTTCTCTCGGCTTCTCTCCCCCCCTCCACCACCCAGCAAACTCCTTGCTGCTTACATTGCGAAATGGCAACACCAACAGTAAACCTTAGGGAGATGTGGGCGGATTTATTTTGGGCATGCGCTGGCAAACCACGTATCCTGAAGTACTTTTGTCCCATCAACCCTGGCAGGCTTATTTCGGGCATTCGCTGGCACACCACTAATCCCGAAGTATTTTTGCCTTCTCCACCTGGAATGCCTCGCAAACAAGAAAAGAAAGGGGGAGATGAAGGGAAGTTTTCTTTTCTGCAGTTCTCTTACTGCACATAACTGTGGCATTTTGCTTTTAGCACTATTGTTTCTTTCCTCTTACATTCTGGGAAGTTTTTACCTCTGCACATAAGTCTGAGAATGTTCTGAACAGTTCCCATTGAGTTCATGAAACAGTGTATCCTGACCTGTTCTTAATGCATTGCTGACCACATTTACGGAACGTGATTGTTGTATTCCTTCATGTTATGTTCTCTCAATATCAATCTTTAGTTATAATTTAATTAGGAGGTTTCATGCCTGTCTAGTTCCAGCTCCGTTCCCAGTCTTTTGAACTATCAGTGATTAATGTAAAATGTAATGCCCGCCTTGTACCTATGTTAACCAATCAGCAACAAGATGCTTTGTGTTTGTATCAGCCAATCAGCCACAAGCACACCTGTGGTAATGTTTGTAATATTCAATAAAAGAGAGTTCCCGGGACTTGCCCCGGGCAGACGTCTCTCCTTTGACACCCACCATTCGTCTGTCGTGATTTCAACCCAACATGGGAGGAGGCGGTCTTTCAGATATGTGGGCCCTCTGCTTTTATGAAGTCTTTCCTTTTTATTGCAGTTATATCCCATCTTTTTCTCCAAGAAGCTCAAGGTGGTATTCTTGGTTCTCTTTCTCCCTTGTTTAACCGTTTCCCTCAACAAGCCAGTGGGGTAGGTTAGACTGAGAGGCAGTGACTGGCCCAAGACCACCCAGTGAGCTTCCTGGCTGTGTGGAAAATGAACTGTGGTCTCCCAGGTCCTAGTATGCCACTCTGACAACTACACCACACTGACTCTGGATTTATCTGTGGTGGCTGGTGTTCATTGGTGCTGATAGGGAAGAAAGCAGTGATGACAATAACAGGCAAAGTCGGAGCCAATGATAAGCAGAGCCAACTAACTCTAGTTTTGTCCCTAACCTCCTCCCTGCTGACTTCTAAATGTGCCAAACACTGGGCTA